CCGTTTTGTTGGAATGGTGGTGACAACACAGAAGGTCTACTGTCTTAGCAACGTGCAAGTGTACAATATTATATTGTTCACTAGAGCGGCCATGTTGTACGTTAGATCCCCAGGACTCATCGGTCTTATCACTGCAAGTGTATGTGTGCCCTTTGGCCAACGTCTCCTCATTTCCCTTCCCTCCCAGCCCCTGGCAACTACCAGTCTCCTCTCCTGTTTTTATCAGCGGCTTTTTCAGATGCCACATATAAGTGAGATCATACAGTTTTTGTCTTTCTCTGACTTATGTTACTTAGCACAATGCCCTCCGGGGTTCATCCATATTGTCACAAATAGAAGAATTTCCTTCTTTTTGTATGGCTAAGTAATATTCCCTTGTATATATGTCCCTGTGTATCCATTCGTCCACCGTTGGACACTTAGGCTCTTTCTGTGTCTTGGCTGTTCTGAATGACGTTGCAGTAAACATGCTGCTACAGGCTTCTGTTTGTGGCACTGATGTCCTTTCCTTCGGGGTATACCCAGCGGTGGGATCGCTGGGTCATAGGGTAGTTCTACTTTCAAGTTTTAGGGAACCTCCACCCTGTTTTGCATAGTGGCTACACCAATTTACATTCCCACCAACAGTGCACAACGGTTCCCTTTGCAAGGAGCTCCTTCGTAATTAAAAAGCTTTACAATGGCATTATGAAGAGAGAATGGTCCATTATTTGCCTCACCTTTTTATACTGAACGTAATGATCTTTAATGAAGCAATTAAAGCCCCACAGAGAGAAGGCCTGGCTCGTTCTGAGAGTGAGACAGCAAACCAACCATGGAAGTGGAAAGATCCTAATCCCACAATGCTCCTGTGAGCAAAACCGCGCCTCTCTGACTCAGAAGAGCCTCTCATACAGCACTGCATTTTGTCCTTCAAATAAAGTGGTTCTGAATTTTTCAATGTGAAAAACACAAGCACTACCCAGTACCAGACACTAAGAATCACCGTAAGCAACATACCGAATCAAAGAAATTAGAGGAATAAATATTGTAATTTCATGTCTCCATGATGAATAGAGAACAGAATACAATTACACAGGAGAAACTGTGAACTCAGCCATCGAAAAGAATGAAATCTTGCCATTTGCAACGACACGGATGGGGCTAGAGAGTATTATGTTAAGCGAAATAAGGCAGTCAGAGAAAGACAGATATCATGATTTCACTCAAATGTGGGATTTAAGAAACAAAACAGATGAACACAGGGGAAGGGGAATAAAGAGAGAGGGAGGCAAACCATAAGAGACTCTCTATTTAAGGGAGGTGGGTGGGGGATGGGTTAGATGGGTGATGGGTATTAAGGGCACTTGTTTTGATGAACACTTACATGTAAGTGATAAATCACTAAATTCTATTCCTGAAACCAATATCACACTATATTTTAACTAGCTAGAATTTAAATAAAAATCTGGGGGAAAAAAAACCAGTGTAAAAATACCGGAAAGTAGCCCTTCTACTGTGGATTAAATCCCTTTGAAGGAGTCACTGGCCAAACAGAAACGTAACAAGATAACAAAATGAAAGAAACGGGAATGATTCTTTGCTCCCACTTCTGATCACCAGCTACAATTTTGGTCCCACAGCTGATGATCTTGCCAAGTTCATTCCTCTCTTGGCCTCAGTTTTTCTCATCTGCTGAGTAGGTGAGAGAGAGAATCATTTCAGATATCCCTTCCAGCCCTAAAAAGTCTGTAATGCAATCTGAGGTATTTGCGTGTTTGAGATATTGTGATTCATAATAAGAAATATAGATTTGGCCTTTGTCCCCAAGTTTCGGGGGGGGGGACCGGAGGGGGACCTTCTCCACACCACCTAGCAATTCTAGGTCACCAGCTGAAGGTTCTGCAACTCAACTTGATTCTGACATTATCTACCTGGAGACAGAGTCAGACCCCCCCAGGTTAAGGCTCTGTCCGACAAGGCTGTCCCCTCCCCCACTTCAGATGCCATTTGCAACCCAGGCTGTCACTTGTGCTTCTGACCAACCTGCTATATACTGGAGGTTCCAACAATCCCCTCCCTTGAGTTCCATTACTTGCCTCCAGCAGCTCCCAGCACTCACACATTTTACTTACTACATTACAGGTTTGTTAAAAAGATGTACCTAAGAAACATCCAGCTGCAAGAGAAGCCTAGGGCAAGGCAAGGGGAAAGAGTGGGGAGCTTTCATGGCCTCCCCAAATGTGCTGCTCCCCCATAAATCACGTGGTCACCCACTTGGAAGCTCTCCAAACACTGTCCTTTTGGGTTTTTATGGAGGCTTCATTCCACAGGCACGACTGATTAAATAACTGGCCATTGGTAATTGGTTCAACCTCCAGCTCCTCTCCCTTCCCCAGAGAAGAGGAGGAGGACTGAAAGTTCCAACCTCCCAATCAAGCCTCTAATCAATTTCCATGCCAACCAGCCCCGTCCTTAGGTGCCATAGAAAAGCCACCTCATTAACATAACAAAAGACACCTTTCTCTCAACAATTAGGAAAGTGCAAAAGTTTTAGTGATTTGGTGCCAGAACCTTGGGGACAAAGGCCAAATCTATATTTCTTATTATGAATCACAATAACTCAAACACGCAAATACCTCAAATTGCATTACAGACTTTTTAGGGCTGGAAGGGATATCTGAAATAATTCTCTCTCTCACCTACTCAGCAGATGAGAAAAACTGAGGCCAAGAGAGGAATGAACTTGGCAAGATCATCAGCTGTGGGGCTGGGACCAGGATGAACCTGAATATGTATCTAGGTAATTGTGAAGTGAATGAGATCCTCCCTTAAAAAGCTTATTTCCAAGGCACCTGGGTAGCGCAGTTGGTTAAGTGACCGACTCTTGGTTTTGGCTCAGGTTGTAATCTCAGGGTTGTGAGAAGGAGCCCTTCATCGGGCTCCTCGCTCAGCGTGAGTCTGCTTGAGATTTTTCTCTCCCTCTCCTTTGCCCCTCCCCCCGTCCTGTGCTCACTCCCTCTGCCCCTCCTCCTGCTTGCTCTCTCTCTCACTGAGATATATAAATCTAAAAAAAAGGGGGGGGCGCCTGGGTGGCTCAATTGTTAAG